ATTTCTCTCCAGTCCTTTTCTATTTTTATATATTCTTGCTGGAACCAGTTAATATGTTCATTTACCTCAGAAGCAAAACAAACAGCTTCTTCCTGCAAAATATTTTCAAAATATCAGTATGTCCCATATTTCAAGTGACAGTTTGGCATTTCACAAAAACTTGTATTACAAGCTGTTATTACACACTCCTTGGATTGTGCAAACTGTTAATGCACTCAGCTGCTAGCTGAAATGTTGCACTTTCAAGTCTACCCAGAGGCTCCTTGGAAGAAAGGCCTGGTGACTGACTTCTGAAAAGCCAGCTACTGAAAACATTCTGAGCACAGTTCTCCTCTGACACACATGGGATCACAGGAGTTGAGGTCGACTCAGTGACAACTGGTCTGATCTGCATACTCTTCATAATGCATTCATAAGGTGAACATCACCATGGATAATTAAGTTTGGCCCTGACCATGATTGACAAATGGACAGTCTTTAGCACTACAAATGAACTAGATAGTTAATCACTTACAATGAAATTATAATCTGTTCTCTTGAGAGATCTAAGAGTTACTTTACTGTCTACATATTTCTTAATTGAGAACATAGATAACCCAGAAGTTTCCAATTTAACAGGGATGTTGTCTAATCTACACTTTTAAATTTTAGAAGACAAATGTTAAAGAAGAAGTAAAAAGTCTTTTAAAGTTTTATTTTCATTTGTCTTTTTCCTTAAGAGAGTACCACTGCACATTCAAGAACTAATGCAGATTTGAATTTTTACAGCTGTTTTAATGTCTTTTTAAAGCTGCAGTACCATGCCTTATAATTTAAATTCAATTCAAATGATAACAATGGCTATTTTGTGATGATAAATTATCAAACTACTGATTATATTCACCATACAGTTGGATACATGGGTGCTTTGGGGCAGCTGAAAAACACCTCACATATTGTAGTTAAAAATCTAAGATACTCACCGTTCTAGAAAAATCAGTTGAGAGGACACTCAGATGAACTGCATTTGAAGTAAAAGAGGTGGTAAACTATTCTAGCTAACCAGAATGTACAAAGATGTTCCCTGTAAAAGATGAGCATGAGAAGCCTAAAATTCTTCAAAATCAAGGCTTTTTACAAGCACATTAGGGAAGCTTCAGGTTCATTGTCCATGAACATAGGATGATGACTAGCAAGAAAGACATGACCAAGTGACAATTTCTTAGAAAAATATAACTTATCAAAACTGACTAAGAAGTAATTCCTAAAATTTCATTGGAAGAGTCTTCCCAAAAAAAAAAAAGGCAAGCTGTAGAGCTTAGAAACAAATTCTATTAAAGATTCAAAAGACAACATTCCAAATTTATGTATTTTCCAGAGAACTGAAGAAAAGGACTGCTCTCCAATCCATTCTATGAAGCCTGTATGACATTGACTCCCAAACCTGAAAGAACAGTACAGTAAATTGCTTGATGTGGCCCTTCTCGCCACTGTCCTCCATTCTGTGATGTATTGTAAATCCTATTATCCATGTCTGTTTTGGGTGGTGTGGTAGTTAAGGTTGGGTGTCAACTTGGCTGAGCAGCTGGTAGAAGTTGTTCCCTATAATGACTGGCAATTGGCTCTGTGGTGGGATTTGCCTTGAGCTGCTGATTGTTAAGGCCATCCACTTAGGTTATTTCTGTTGGGGCAACACAGGTGGAATGTATCTTGAGTCCTGCCTTGCTGGGGAGTATAATTCAAATCACCACCCTTAGCTTCCTTGAGGGTATGCCTACGAATCTCCTGGGAAGGTTTACCCTCCCCTTGCTCCGGTTCTGTGTCCTGGCTCATCCTCAGCTCACCCCTGGATTTGGACAGCAGCTGTCGTCTGATCTGCTGATAGAGGTTCATCAAACCCTGAGAATTGGGAGGATCCTCCAGACCTACTCACAGATCTGGGACTCACCAGCCTGCCAGCCTCCACCACTACTACGTGAGACGAACCCTTGGGTGTCTGTGAGTTCTGTGAGGTGTTACAGCAAAATACAGAACCCTAAGACGGGGGAAATTACTGGGAGGAGGAGGAGTTAATGTCTGAAATGATAGAGTGGTACTGTAGTTTGGACATTTGGGACATCTTTAACCTCCGCCTCATGGGGACTGGCCTTGTGCTGATCTTTCTGAGGGAGACTGTTCAAGCAAATAGTGTAAAAGAGAAAAATTACAGGTCACTCTCATTCATGAACAAAGACAAATATTAGGAACCAAGAAGAACTAACTTGATTTATCCCAGACATGCAATACTGTTTGACATTAGTAAGAAAACTTTAGTAATCCAAAAGGGGATATAATCGATTTGCCCACTACATTTCACATGTTTTCATACTGAAATCTGAATGATGAGACCACTGTTGAGTTGGAGCAGAAAAGTAGCAGATTTTGAGAAACGAGGTAGGTGTTAACAGCTGTATAATCTACCTGGATTATCTAAGTATATATAAATATTGCATATTGCATTAACTGATTAAAAGAGAAAAAAATATATGATCATTTCAAAATATGCAGAAAAAGCATTTTCTCAGATTTGGCATCCTTTTAAGATTAAAGGGCAAAAATTTTTTGTCAAAATGAGAGTAAAATTTTTCAAACCTTTTAATGCTTTCTACCAAAACCCTAGAGCAAGCATAATTTTTAATGGTAAAATTTTAGAAGAATTCTCTTTAAAATTAAAAAATATATAAAAATGCTCTATTATACTCTTATTCAGCCTTGTACCAGAGGTCCTAGCCAGAGAAGTAATATCATAGAAGGTAAAAAGATTGGCAAGTTAGAAACAAAACTGTCATTACACATAAATGATATTATTATTACTTAAGTGAAACCACAAAATGATGTACACATATATTATAATAATTAAGGAGTAACTACATGCAAGACCTGTGTGCATTACCCAGTGCTCCATAACAAAAATACCACAAGTGGGTGACTTGAAAGAACAGGAATTAATTGTCTCAGTTTGGAGACTAGGAGTCCAAACTCAGGGAGCGGGCGGGGCTACGCTGTATCTGCTCTAGAAGACAGTTCCTGGTCTCTTTCAGCTTTGGGCCGCCCCAGCATTTCCTTGTGTTCCTTAGCTTACAGACAGATCCCCATATACAGTGCTCTCTCCTCTGTGTGTGTCTCCTTCCATGTCTATTGTCCCTCTTTGTAAGACACTCAGGAGATATTAAGTGTAGCACCCACCTTATTCCAGTATGACCTCATTAACTAACAAAAGAAAAACCCTATTAAGAGATCAAAAGGGCAGTATTTGCCCAGGGATAACACTCAGGAGGCAGGAAAGGTTAGGAAAGAAGGACAAAGGGAAATGGTAAACTTGAGGAGGAAGTGGGAAGAGTGCTGCTACATTATAGGGATTGTAATCAATGTCACAAAACAAAATGTGTATGAATTGTTGAATGGAAGACTAATTTGCCCTGTAAACTTTCACCAAAATCACAATGCAAAAGAAAAGAAAAACCCTATTTCCAAAGGGGCTCCCAATCACAGGCACAGGTGGAAGGACTTCAACATGTCTTCTGGGGGACACAATTTAATCCACAACAAGATCAATACACAAAAATATAATAACAAGCAGAAAATGTAATTTTTAAAATAATTTTGCAATTGTAATAAAAGCTACAAGTTTCCCAGGAATGAAACTAACTAAAGATGTATAACATATCATTGGAGAAAATTATTGGAAAATATTAATGAGACCTAAATAAATGGATAAGTCTACCATGTTCAAGGGTAGAAAGATTCAATATCATCAAGAAGTTGGCTCTTTCAAAATGGGGCTATAGATTTAATAATATTTCTATAAAAATTCCAAAGGCTTTGTTTGGTTTTCTTACTGAAAAATTTGACAAGCTGATTCCAAAATTCATGTGAAAGACTAAATTGCTCAAGAATAACCAAGGCACTTGTGAAAAATGATAAGGCAATGGTGAAGAGTATGAAAACTTAGTTTACAACTGTATAAATAAGGGAAGTTGGTATTCATGAAAGAGTAGTAACTACTAGTAGAACATAGCAGAGGTTCTAGATACAGAGCCAAGAAAGCAAAAGATGACAACACAAATTTCTGTTGAGGAGAAGGACTATTTTATAAAAGGTACAGGAAATTGTTTATCCACATGGAAAAAAAAGAAGAAGAAGATGGACCCATACTGAACACACACACACACACACACACAAAAAAAACCAAATTCACTGCCATCGAGTTGGATCTACCTCATAGCGACCCCTCTTTGGGTTTCCTTGGGTTTCTGAGGCTGTATCACTATGGAAGTAGATTGCCCAATCTTCAAAAATAACTCTGGATTCTTTAAGGATTTGAAAGAAAAACTTTCAATTTTTGAGAAGAAAATAGAAGAGTATTTATCACTTCAAGGTAGGGAAATATTTCTTAAAAGCATTAATCCTAAGTGAAATATTTCTTAAAAGCATTAAGCACTTAGGAGTGAAACTACATTAAAACTAATAACCTCTTTTCATTTAAAGACACTATAAAGAAATTTAAAAGGCAAGGCATAAAATGAGAGGCGATATTTACAATGCATGTAACTGGTGAAAAAGTAAGATACAGAATATATAAAAGAGTCCTTTAAATAAATAAGAAAAAGTATAACTTCATAGGAGCTCTGGTAGGGTAGTACCTAAGGCACTTGACTGCTAACCATAAGCCTGGCGGTTCAAACTCACCAGCCACTCCTCAGAAAGAAGATTGGGCAATCTACTTTTTTAGTGATACTGTGTCAGAAACCCAAGGAGGGGTCGCTATGAGTTGGGTCTGACTCGATGGCACATAACAACAACAATAACAACATAATTTCATAGAGAGATAGGCAAAAGCCACTGTCTTAGTTACTTATTGTGGCCACACCACAAATACAAGTGTGTGGCTTTAATGAAAGAATTTATTTTCTCACAGCTCTGGAGGATGTGAAAAAGTCCAAATCAGGGTCTTAGCTATGTTGATTCTTCGTGCCCTTTCTTCTAGTTTTGAGTGATTGCCACCAATCCTGGGCATTCATCTGCTTGTAGACATGGCATCTGTCTTTCCCCTGTGTGTGTCTCTCTGTCTATT